AGGGTAAATAATAATAATCGCCAGAATAATAATAACCAACATTCTATGTTGGCAGATTTGGTTGAAGATAAAAAGACTATATTATGCACAGTTTTCAATTTAGCCAATTATCCTGGAAAGGTAAGAAGCAAATAACTTTCTCGAATTTACATGCAATAAATTATATTGGATATTGATTTTAAGAACATTTTCTTATTTAGGAAACTATTGAAAGATCCCCTCAATCCATTCCATTTACTACATCTACAAATTCACATTCATCTGCTATTTCATTTACTTCATCCATTTCATCCACACAAACCACAGAAATTATGAATAATAATAATAGTAATAATGATGATGACAATAATAACATTGATGATGTTGAATCGAGGTGTTGCAAAACAAAGGAGAATAGAATATGTGGTTTTCATGTACATCTACCATCATGGAATAAAATATGCAATGGAAGAATATTTAATGCGAATAATCGTGAACTTAGCACATGCCCTTTTTTTAACTTTACGTTTTGTGTAGAATTTCAAACTATAAATCAATACCCCATCAACATACCTTCTGTGCCAAGATGTTATTGTAAAAGACCAATTGTATTGACAAGAATTACTACACCTGGTAATATTGGAAGATGGTATATGGCTTGTGCAAGTTATCACGTTAGTGTGCACATATGTTTATATGAATATATTATATATATTTATTTTTATATAATTAAAAAAAATTATATTTTATTAGGTACCGGGAGCAAAGCCTAAATGTTCATTTTTTAAGTGGGCTGATGAAGTTTTATATGATAAAAATGACCAATGTTTTCATGATGATTTTTACAAATTTGAACAAGTATTTATTAGGGAACCAACTTATCAAAATTGGCGAAAAAGATTGGTTTGTAATATAAAACAAGAAATAGATGAGATTATAGCAAATGACAATGTTAATGTAAACACCAGCATCAACATCAATATCAACAACAACAACAACAACAACAACAACAACAACAACAACAACAACAACAACAACAACAACAACAACAACAACAACAATAATAATATGAATAAAAATATTCACCACCAACATCTTCAAGACATTCAAGATGCTCATATTAACAATCGTGATGATGACAATTTTTTAACTAGTATCAATAATAATTTTATACATTCTTCTGATCCCACAAGAGTGAAGATTGCTGGATTAGATTTTTAGAAGAAATCTCATTATTATTATGAGCTATCATTATTCATTTAGATCAGTTCTTTTATTTATTTTATTTCTTTTTGGTAAAAATATAAAAACAATTTTGTTAATCAATATAATGAGTGACAAGAAACAGGGCCTTGCACATTTATATAATTATGATTCTAGAAAACTTGTCATTAACAATTCTTTTATTTTATTATGATGCAATAATAATATAATGATGACAATATATATAATAGTAGTAAAAATAATATTATATAGAAATTATATTGGTAAATAGGATAGTTAAATAAAAAAAACAATTATGAACAAAAATTTTTAGTTTCTTTATATAAAAGATTCATCTTCTTTCTTTCATGGTTATTAAATTAATTAATAAATTTTATAGAGTCACAAAGATAAAAAATTAAATAATATGGCTAACAACAAACTTGCCCAAATTCAATAACTCATGATTTTAATCAAAAGCATGTATTTATACAATAATTGGGTGAAAAATGTTCAATTGTTCGTTAATGAACACTTTCAAATAGATAAATAAAATCTAATATATATATTAATAACATTTGTTTTATATAGGTCAAGTTTCTCATCTATTCATCCATATGACAAAAAGAGACATATTAATATGGGATTAGATTGATTGATTGGTTGATTGATTGATTGATTGATTGATTTGGCCAATCAATCATGATTATTGGGAAATAGAATTTATAACAAACCTGCAAGATAATTAGCCATGTATAAAAAATACCCACAGTTATGGATATTGAAAATAGTAATACCTGCTGGACAACTTCAACTTGAGCCTATTTGCTCATTTATTCAAATAAACTAATATGGAAACTACCACTGATAATCATAATAATAGATGAAGGAATAAAAATTGATTGGTATCCACAAATTTGTTCTACAACAAGTTCATCTATATAAGTGATCCCAGTCAGACAGACAGCTTGTAAAAGTTGGCATTATTCTATATATTAATAAAATAAAAGCTATGGTTTACAATCATACCTTCAGATTATATAGCCAATACATTCACTCCAAATGCAAAGTATTTAAATTAATTTTTGTAAATAACTTAAACACACTTATGAATTCATGTAAATTATTTTTTTTCAAAAATTTAAATACATGTATTAATGGTGCACAAATTTAGAATTTTTACTAAATTTTAAAGCATAATAATCTAATGAAGATGCTTTGCTATTAAAAAGTATCAATAAAGTTATAACTGATTTGACCAAATTGTTGAATGAGCTAGATTTTTATGATATAGATATTGGATTGGTGAGGTTTTTTTGCGATAAATAAATAATTATCAGTAGCACGTTCAGCTTTTGCACATCTATATTTTGGATGAGAATTTTTAAACCTCATTCTAGCATTTAAAAGCAAGGTCTTCCATACCTCGATGCAGTATTATCAAATAATTGGATTAACGATATTGTTTTATTTAAATGTGAAATATTGTTCCGAAGGTGGTTTAGAAATTAGATGCATGTATTTGATGTTTCATCAATTGAAAAGGATATTACTCCAGTTATTAATTATTTTCGAGTGACTTTTATGATAAAACCAAACTTGTGAAAAGTTATGACAAAGAGCTTCTTCAAAATTTACAAATTTATAATGAAGTTCTTGGTTTCTACTTGGATTAATAAAAAACATGATCCATATAACCAAAATAACCAAATAATATGGATTCGAATCAACTTTTTGAGTCTATATTTAACATGAAGATTGAAAAAATGGAAGAGTTGGTTGGTGTTTATAATTCAATTTGTTGAATTTAAAAGAATCAAATGAACTTTTGGATGAAATTCTTATTTTAAGTCAAATAAATAATTCAATATTAAATGGTTTGGCCCCTCGACCTGCAATATATGATAACACACTTGGTGGATCTTACATCGGTAGCACTGTTATTGATTTTGATGTAACTATTTTTACTATATAGCTTGCAGCCTCTCATTTGTGAAAAGCGCGTCATAAATTGTGATGTAGTCACGTGATATATTTTTTTAATAAAAAAGAATTTTGATTTGAACGTAAGATGATCGGTTATGAATAAATAGTCTGGTATCTTGAAGAATCATGTTTTTAAAAATTATTGAATATTACAGAACAATATAATTTAGATTTTTTAGTATGCAAATGTTGGTGAAAATACAAGTTTATTCATTATTTATAATTTATGGATAAAATAACAATATATAATACTTGATGTATGATTAGCTATGAACGAATTCGTCAGCAATGCAGAATTTATTTAATGATTTTCAAGTTTCAGTTGCATATAGCACTTTTTTTAAGAGTATAGATCAGCTTTCTAAGGGCAGCGAACTCAGGATTCATTATTTATATTTAAGAATATATTATTTAATTTAAACAAAATAAATTGGTTTATAAGCATTCTTAAAGTAAATTTATTCAATTACTATAATTTATGCTTTTATTAAATAAGATATTTACATACTTGTAAACATAGTAAAGTTAATCGGGCATTAGAAATGTCAATTTTAAGGATATACAACCCAGAGATTTATTGAAATATTGAAATTGAGATAATTTATAAAAAAAATCCAGTTTTACTTATTCTAACAAAAACTTGAAGGAATTGAAACCGATGGAATAGTATTTAGGAAACTATCCTTAAATGGGGAGCAGCAAGACACCCAGGCATTTGTAAACATGGTTGATAAAAAAAGTCCTTTATATACTTTACAAAGAGAAGTCAAAATCTAAATTTAAACGAATACATCATAGCAGTAGATAGTTTAAAAATGTGATGATATCAATAGAATGCTTGTAGTTGCTAGAAATAGAAAAATTGATCAAATAATTAGTGATCCATTTAATTTTCATTGGAGTGAAAAATATATATAATTATAAATATACAACGGAATGTTTTAGATTAGTCATTCGTTTTTGGTTTTCAATGTAAATGCTAGTATTTATAGTAATGATGAATTAGAAGTTCTATAAATTTATCCTTTTTTATTTTAACTTTGCAATTCTAATATTAAAAATCTTATTATACAAAAAAGATTATTCGAACTTACTTTCTATATTGACAACATGGCCGAGTGGTTAAGGCGTCAGACTTGAAATCTGATTCCCTATGGGAGCGCAGGTTCAAACCCTGCTGTTGTCGTTAACAAGTGATAAATTAAAATTTTTTACTATTACTATAAAAATTATAATAAATTAATATACATGAGCATACTACACAACAAAACCACATTTGGATTACCAAGTATTTCAGGGATAAAATGGGTTTACAATGTTCCATTTGTTAAGTGATATATAGAACTACCCTATATAAAAATAACAACATGGAACAGCACAGAAGTATTTTGAAGAACAAGGTGAAAAAATTGTTCCTTATGTTTTCAAAATAAATGATACTCAGATGCTTGAAGCTTATCTAAGGAAAGAAAGGATTGTGAAATTTACAAGAAGGAAAGAAAAATCATAACAAGTAAAAGAACTTTATCACAAACCACAAAGAATTTAGAAAGAAAAGAAATTGGAAGGGGAATAATTTACTGCCTAAATTAACCATGTGTGAGCATCAAGAAATTAAAAAAAGGTTTGGTAAAAAAGAATTAGTGTGGTTTGTTTGATTTGTTTAGGTTTTATTTCAATTATTTGTTCTTGTTTCTTTTTTAAGTGAATTTCTTATATTTTTTGTAAACTATTGTAGTTTATTCTTTGATAATGCTGGTAAAGAAAGACTTGTTGGTTAAATATAGTTCTCATTTTAGTTGCTGAATTTCTTGGGCTTGCTGACTTATCTCCTGATTCTTAACTGTTTCCAATTGCTCTAATTTCTTGGCCAATTGTCTTTTTTTTCATTATTGGGCCACTTCTAAGGCTTCAAGGTGAGTTTCAGCATCTAATCTTGCCTCTTTAGCTTTTTGCTTTCAACCTCAATAATTTCAATGATTTTAATTATTGTTCTATTTCTCTTCATTTCATAATTGCTTAATAAATTCTCTTCTCAATTATCTTATCTGTTTCTATTTCTTCATCAATTAGCTCATAATATTTTGAAGCTCTTCAGTAATGTTTTTTATAATCTTTTATAATTCTTTTTTTTCCTTAGTTAATTTATACTTTTCCACTTTTAAGTTTTCTCTTTGTAATTTCAATTTAAATTATCAATTATACCTTTTTTATATTCATTTGTTATTGGACATTTATTCTTAATAAACTTTACTAACATTTCTTCTAGTTCTTCAGCTTTCTTTTTTAATTGTGTTAATTCTTGATTATCTCAGGTGCTGGGATTCCTTTTATTACTACCATAATATATTATTTTGATACATTCATGAAAGTTTTATGTTGGTTTTGGACAATTAATATATTTAAATTCATCCTTTACCAATGGACAAATATTATTATAAAGGTATTCTTGCCTCTTATAATCCAGAGGGAGAAGTGTTAATACTAAATAAATAAAGCCTTAATTTCTTCAGAAATATGTGTTTCCTTAGTTTTCAATAAATTGAATTCAGCAAAAGGTCCATTAGCAACTTCTTGAGTTTTGACCACATGAGGATTAGATGTTTCAAAAAGAAAATGTTGAAATTTTTGCAGACCATTAATAAATTCCCAAAATTGATTTGATATCCACCTTCATAGCATTGAGTTTTATTCAATCCTGCTGAACTAGATCTTTTTGCTACATCAACCACATGATCCACACAATCCACACTTGTTTTTCAGCAGTGTTTTTTAATCAATCCAAAACCACCATTGCATTTGAATTTGGTATGTCCAGGAATCATGAAATTCAATCCAATACTTTCATAATAACCACAAATAGGGATTTTAACAGTCTGGCCCAGACTGAATGTACTACAGACCAATTCAGCCTGTCCTTAGGTATCAAAGATTATTGGACTCTTTGGACCATTGAATTTTTTTTTAAGATGTCTACTAGTGCTTATTGACCACCATCTATTGCTTTAATCTGTGCCATTAAAAATATGTCTTGTTTAGGCTTGGGAAGAGCTTGAAATGATACCTCTGACTCTGCAAATTCATTCTTGGAAATATACATGCAGCCCAAAGTATTTTGACACTGTCATGACTTATGAAATTCATATTATTTATTAGTAAAAATAAATGGAGTATGAAACACATTCATATTATAACACAATAAATTTCAAAATTACTTGCAGTTAATATTAAAATCCTTGAAACCTTTAAACTTCAGCTTTATTTTTATATATTTTATATATGGCTATCTTTTCTACAACCTTAAAAAAAAGGATTGGTTGAAAAAAAAATAGAAATGGCAAGAATTTATCATGTTACATTAAAATTATATTAAAATATTCATTAATATTAAATATATAAAATCTTAACATTAATAGAAACACATTCAAGAAAAAGAAAAAGTTCCAGAAGCTGAAAAATCAAACACAAGAAGCTTTGCAATAAATTTAGAAATTCAACCTGATCTCAGAGGAAAGTTAGTATATTTCTTCTTTAAACATGATAAATATCTAGAGGGACTTTAATTTATGATAAAAACAAAAAATTTTATATTTATGATATAAAAAATGGTGATAAGTTCAATAGTTTTTTTATTCATGGATAAATTCTTTGAAAAAAAAAAGTTATTTAGTGGCAAAAGATCTGCACTTGTTGCATATTTTCAGAGCCCAATATTTTCTTTTCTTTTATATCAGATCATCTGATCATTTTCACAAATCAATCTTGTATTGTGTTATATATATATATATGTAAAATTCTAAAGGATATCTGATCAAGCACCTTATTGGAGCAACAGACCAACTGCAACTATTGTGGATGTTTCTTCTTTCATTAGGCAAAAGATTAAATTGAAATGGCGAATTTTATGGAATAGGATTAAGAGAGATTAATGAAGGATTGGGATTGACTTTTTTTGAAGAGAAAACAATATAAAAAAAAATATGGTAATAAAATGGTATGGGATGCTGATATCATATTTGAGGTAAGTGTTAGGAAATTGTAAAAAGATACTGATTTAATTTCATTGGGGATTTTCAAAAAAAGGGCAATATCAAAAGTGGAAACAATATATATAACACAAATAACTGCAGAGTTTCCTGCATTACTGGAATTTACTGGGAATAGTGGTATAAATTCTGAGGATAAAGAAGGTAAGTTATTTTTGCAAAATAAAGACCAAGCTTTTATTTGAATTATTTATATGAAAAATCACCAAAAACATGGAGACAGCATGGAAGATACATACATATTTATTTATTTAGTTCATTTTAGAATTTTTGTGAACAATTTTAGTACTCTCATTCAATTATGTAAAAATTCAAACCCCCTCATCGATCAATTCATATATGTTGCAAATGAGTTTATGTGAATATGTAAACAAAAAAAATTTTTAAAAAATTCAAATTATAATAATTGAAATAAATACTATTCAATTTTCTCTTTCATAATCACTCAATAATCAATAATAATCAGTCAAATTGCTCAAAGTATGTTGTTTTTAAAATCAAAGAAAGTTATGCACTAGGAATTTGTTTTTTAAAAAAAATTTTTAGATAAAACACAAAAACCAACTGTTAACACCTTATACTGTTTATTTACCACACTTACTCAGCAATATTCTAAAAGCTGGGTCACTGGGTCCAAGATTTCAAAAAATAAATGAGTTAAAAAAGGGGAATTTTGTTAAAAGCTTGTAACTTTATACAAAAATTCTTTTTAATAATACTATCAGAAGAATAGATAAAATAAAAACCTCTAGTTTCAGATTAACTAAGATATTTCACAGTAAGTTCTAGATATCAAATATGTTAATTTAAAAAAGATTAATTTAAAAAGAGTGATTTTGTTAACCAACTTTACAATATTTCTTATTAATAGTAACCATAGGAATATAGAACAAACTTCTAGTTTCAGACTATCAATTAATATGCTCTAAATTTGCCTTTATCTAAATTTACAAATATTTAAATGTAAGAATTATTTAAAATAATTATATATATGTATATATTATATATACACACATAACATACATACACAGGTAAACTCAATAAGTCGGACACTCAATAAGTTGGATTTGGCCTAACTTGGACAAAAATTTCCTGCCCTTTTTTTTTTATATTTAAAAATTTCTTGATAAGTCAGACACATATATAAACTCTTGTTAAGCTGTAAGTCGGACAACTCCTCCAGCCAGATAATAATAAATGACTCTCGATAAGTCGGTTCACGTGATTTTCATAAATCTTGAGAGATAATCTTTACTATTTTTAGTAATGTATTATCCAATAAATTTTTGTAATAATTTCTATTCATGATTTGTAAATAGTTTTTTTCCAAAAGAGCAACCAAACTCCCCTTCTTTATTCACTAACTTTGCTCAATAAAACCGATAATATCCAAATTTTTTCCAAACCGGTTTTTCGACAAACTTCGCAATTGTTTTTCACATTATATTTATTTTTTTTCTTCATAAATCTGTTCCGTGAATAATATTATAATCATTTTAAAGAATTTGTCTTTGCAAATAATGTATTTTATTGTTATATTTATCTATTATGTCATTTATTATCTCATCATTAAATGAATTCACGTTTTGTTGTTTCATAATTAAATGATTAAAAGATTTAAAATGGAAAACAAAATAATTCTTTAGTACAAACCAGTATGAATATTTATTTAGATAAAGAGTAGAGATTTTTTTGTTTTATCTTCTATCTGTTTTATTAAATTATTTTTTCAATTATTATTATAAATAAATATGATTTAAACAACGATTTTCTTAATTTTTTTTTTTTTTTTTGTAAAATTGCATATTTTGATAAGTCGGACACCGTGTCCAGCCATTTGTGTCCGACTTATCGAGTTTACCTATGTATATGGTTTTTTTAATCATACATGTTTTTTTGTTTTTTTTTCCCAACATAATACGCTTCGCAAATAAACATTATCAAAGAAAAACATATTCTCCGTAATGGAAAGCAATGTCACTACTATTGAGACTGCTAATAATAATACAACAACTATCACAACCGATACTCGTATGGATTTGATCCTAACCAGAAGAGGGTTATGAGTAATATAAAAAATAATTTGCTGAAAGACGATGAGCGGCTTTTTTTTTGAAAGAAGTTGATTGTTTTGATTATTAGTATAGAAAATAGCGCGAATGGTCGGAAAAATTATAAATCAATAGGTACTGAATTAATTAGAGATGATGATAGCAAGAAATACTATTATAATACGGAAGGATATGATCAACTTCAAGAAAAACACGACGAACTGAAACGAAAGTTCTTCGAACTTAATAAAGAACTGGAAGATAAGAAAAAACAACCGAGATTATGTGATGATGATGATGGACTTGATGGAAAGACTATTAAGATTTTGAAAGCACTTAGTAAAGTCAAGGAAAAATTGAATGATAAGGCTTATTATGATAGTATTTACGTCCCTGCTTTTGAATATTTCAAGAAACCGGATCAAAAAGATTATAAGTTGGCTGCCGGCATATTTGTAAAATATGTTAGGAATCAATCACGTAATAAGAATTGGATTTATTTTAATTCATATTTAATTATAATAATAATAATAATTTACTATATGCATACATATTAATACTAATAATATTATTATTTATATTATTATTATCATTTAAAAGAAATGACAATTGTTGGTTTATACCAAACCGTTGGTGTTTTCATGAGGCTCTTAGATGGGAAGGAGAAAGGGCGCAACTTAATCCATCTGTTAAAAACACATTCGGAAGAATTCGATCAACAAGTTAATAAACATCTATTTAATAATATAAAATCGAAGATAACTTTGCTTTCTGATGTTATTACAAAAAGCGTAGATAAATTTTTTTTATCATTGGATTTATTGGAATTGCCAATTTCAACATTAAAGTTGCTTATTATAAATTTATTGAGCAGCAGGAAACTTGACTTATTATTATATTTAAATCATGGATCATTACAGAAAGGTTCTTTTTTTCTTATTATATATATGTACGTGAAGTTTTGTTATTAATCTTTTGTTTAAACAACCTTTTGTATATATCTCTTATCTAAAATTTGTAATTTCTGTTTGGTTTGTTTTGTCCATCAATTAAATCGCAAATTTTATTATTATTGTAAATTTATTGACATGTATATATTTAAAAAAATGCAGATAAAAAAATTTATAATATATACATATATCTATTATATCTATATATTAAATGAATTCTTTATATATATATGTATCTATTTATTTACACCTTTTTATCACGTTTCCCTCGCTTACACAGCAATTTAAGACTTTCAATATTCAAACTGAGCATTTCCAATAGAAATTGTACTTGAAGTTTTATGTCTGAACTAACAATATTATTTTTCTTGATTGATTCTTGTAAATTGTTGATTTTGTTGACCACTGTGTTATTGATCACCAATTCATATTCTTCTTCATCTAATCCACAAATCATCATTATCAAATCATCACCACTATTCCTTCTAGTATTACGGTTATTATTAACACAATTATTAACTCGTATGATTTTTGAAGAAATGTAACTTTGAAGGATCCAATATAGCATGTAGTAATGTCGCCATGCTAAATCAGACATAATCTCGCCTTTTTTGGTTTTTTTTAATGGGATTGAATCAAAATAAACATTAATTATTTTTGATAAACTTAATTGTGATTTTATCAAGTGTCGATAATTACGGCCAGCTGAGTTAAGATCTGTATTGGATAATGCTAAATCAAGCAATCTTGCTTTAAAGGTGTTTGATATTAAAGTCTATAAATAAGAATCAAGATTATTTATTAATAAAACATAAATAAATGAATGAATGAATAAATAAATAGAGTATATATACATCTATACCAAACTCACTTGAAGGAATAGTTGGAATTTTGATGAATCAAGATGCTTTGATTTCAAGTATATCTCAGTTGTCAAAGTTTTAGAGCAAATATGTTCAGAGTATGAAAGAATTATCATCTAAATTATTAATCAAAAGTCTTTTTTATTTTAATATTCAATACTAAATAAAATTAATTCTGTTAATTTAAATTATAAGTAAAAGCACATTTTACCAAGTCTAATAATCTTTGGATCATGTTTACAAGATCTTTAGATATTTCATCTTTGTCAAATATTGAAATTAATATATCAACAGGAGTTTTAATGTTTGTTGTGCGTTGTTGGACACCATAACTGTTTGGAATAAGTTGTAAAAATATTGTTGAAGATAAATTTTCTAAATAGAAAATTGATAGATATATATTTTAACAATTTTTTATAGCAATTTAAAGAGTATGGGTATTTATATATTTTCAATTGTTTTTTACCTTGTTTTAATTTTATATCAACTTCTAACATGCTTACTATATGTTCAAGCAATAAAAGTTTTCTCTAAATTATATATGTGCATTCAATCAATACATATGTACTAAAAAAATCACTGAATGATAAATATTGGCTTACTTGAAAATTATCATCATCCATTGGATGAGGTTGGAACATCGTTTTTTTGATGAAATTCCAAAAATCCTTATATTCTTTCCAAATGTCATCTATTTCATTTATTTGACTATCAAGATCACTTGAAGAAGGAGATGATGACCAAACATTTTCAAAAGGTAAAGAACCCTCTTGTTGTAAAATTTGATTTAAAATTTTATGTGCTTTCAGAGCCATTCTATAATTAACCTTTTGATCATTAATCACCAAATCAACCAATTGACGAATATGTTTTCTACAAAAAAATGCGAAAATAAAGAATATAGTTAATTAATTTATATTTATTCACAATGAATTGTTTTTAATAATTTTAAATCCAAAGAAAAAATTATTTAATACATACCCTGAAGGATTGTATGATTGATTATAAAAAGATCCAATCAAATCAATTGCTCCACTATCTAAATTTGAAAATATTGTTAAGATTCATTATTAATTCAATAGTATTTTCAAAAAAAAAAAAAATTCAATGATTACAATGATTTTCTTGAAGACAATTATCAATCATGTTTTGACAGGTATTTGGCATTAATAATGATTTTTTTTTAGTTTTATTATTGGGATTGGTAGTTATTGAATTCAATTTTTCATAAATTTCAATTGATTCTGGTTTCGTATTAAGAACTTTTTCAGCCTTTTCCCAAATACCATCATTATGTAAATTAACAATTTCGCTATTGTTTTCATCACTATTTTCTTTATTTTTCAACTTAGAAGGAGTAGATAACATGTAAGATAAACCATCCTAAATACAAATTAAAAAAAAACCATACACAGGAGGCAGGTAACTATTTAAAAGATTTTTTTAATGAAAATTGCATTCTTTTAAAAGAAAAATAATAAATAATAAATAATATAAACCTTTGATGTTTGATATTTTTTAATAAATTTCATTTTTTTTTTCCAAATTCAATTAAAAAATAAAGGTAAAACGCGAATACAGAATTTCATTTTGAAATACTTTTATGATGTGCACCAAATATTCAAATTCACTGGCAAAAATGGTTAAGTAACAATTACCAAAGGTTACGTCAATCACCAAACTTGATCTTGTGCAACTCTATTGCAAATTAACAAACACACCCTTTCTTTTATAAGATAATTATGTCTGGTGAATTTTTTTAACTTTATTTAGTCAAGGAAGACAGCAAAAATAAGTAATGATCCACCTTTTTACATTATGATCTACATCGAAAAGTTAGAAAAAAATAAATATTAATATTAATATTAATATATCAATCATAATTATGAATTCAAGTTTTCATCGTTCATTAGATTTCATCTATTTCATCTATTTTGTTACTCATATTCCACCTGCATTATTATTAGATACAACTTCAATTTATCCTGAAACAATTCTTCCAAGTTTTTTGTCATCAATTAATAAATGGTACATAGAAAACTTCAATGATCCATTATATACTACTACAAGAATTTGGTTTAAAAGTTTTTTATTTTGTGAATTATTTTTACAATTACCATTCTTTTTTTATGCCTCAATCAGTTTATGGAAAGGTATTATTATAATATGAATATAAGCAAACAGAAATTAATTTTATGTTTGAAATACAAGTCTTTCATTTTCATTAATTTTTATTTTTTTACAGGCGATAAATCAATCAGATTACTGCTGCTAATCTATGCAAGTCATACGGCCACAACAACTCTAGCTTGTATTAGTGAATTGATGTTTGGTAGTAATGAGGGATTAAGTGAATCTCAAAGAAATTTTTTATTGATGGCCTATACACCTTATCTCATATTGCCTTTGATAATGATTATAGATTCATATAAACAATTACGTGAAGCAGAAAGGGTGGCAAATACATTGTTAAAAAAAGAATAATAAATAAAAACTTTTAAATAATACTATTTTGTTATAATCATTCTATATTTATGTATATTTTATTTGATAGATGATCCCTTTTTTAACAAATAAAATTTTTTGATCTCAATGATGGTTTCAAACAATTACACATCATACAAATGCTTCTTCACTCTAATCAGATTAAAAATAAAATAATTACATCAACTAAGATAAAAAAAATTCAACCTAAAATCACCTAAATCATATTATAATACCGGGAGTGTTGAAATTTCGTCGTGTAACTAGTATAAATTTAGAAACTATCTTCTGAGATTCAAAATTTGATTGGAATATAACGTTACATGCCATGTTTCCCACACAACACTGAATACCGGGCGCAATAATAAAAATTCACGTGATTGATTATAAAAATTTTTTTTTTAGATTTTTTTTTCATCTCACAATAACGAATAAAATTTATCTATTTATTTAGCTTGTAAAGATGGTAAGTTTAATCAATTATAAATAGCCATCAAATATTAGTAATAACACGATAGAAAATCACTATTAAGGAACCATTAACTACTTATTTATTTAAAATAACAATAACTAGATAATAATAATAGCAAATTTATTATAAATTTATTTATTACTATGATAACTTTGTTAATTCGTTCTTTTTACCATTTATTATTTCATTAATACTCTATTGAAAATTCAATTATCAAATAATTTGCAACTGATTGATCGTTGAAAGACATTTGTTAAAATAGTGAAAAATAAAGGTAATGTTTAACAGGGTGGTTATAGATAATTTGTCACAATTATTAATCGATAATTAATCTTTATTTATTTATCTATTTATATTATCTCATCAATATATCAACACATCAATATATATATGTAGCTTACTTCAAAAGATATCAAGTTAAATATCGAAGAAGACGAGGTACGTTTACAATGTTAACATTTGCAACAATAACCATAATTCTTTAGGGATTAATTAATTATTCAAGTTGTATTAATGATGATTACATAGTTCATCTGAACAAGTTTTCTGTTATGTTGAACCTAATACTATCTTTCGCTCCTATCTGAAATAAACACAAAAAATTAATCTATCTATACTCAATACATATTCATCCATACTATATATAAGTAACTAATAATCTCACAAATAATTAATTATTTCATTCTCTTTCTGATGATTAATTTTAGAGGGAAAAACTGATTATTATGCACGTAAAAAATTGGTTGTTCAAGCAAAGAATAAGTATAATTCACCAAAATATCGATTAGTTGTTCGTTTCACCAACACAGACATCATTGTTCAAATTGTATATGCCAAAATCGAAGGAGATTATGTTCTAGCAGCAGCTTATTCACATGAATTAAAAAAATATGGTATTAAAATTGGATTAACAAATTGGGCAGCAGGTTAGTTTTAATCTACATATATAGATGTGTATGTGTGTGTATATACTATTTATTTATTTATTTATATCTACTAATGTTTTTTTTATTGTTACAAATTTTTTATATAATAAATTAGCATATGCAACAGGTTTATTGGTAGCTCGACGTGTTCTCACTAAACTTAATTTAGCTGACAAGTATCAAGGAATAAAAGAACCAGATGGTAAAGTTGCTCCAGTTGAGGCAATTGATGATGACGATTCACCTTCTCCATTCAAAGCATTTTTAGATGTTGGATTGAAACGTACATCTACTGGATCTAAAGTTTTTGCGGTGCTTAAAGGTGCTTCTGATGGTGGTATTTTTATTCCACATGGAGAAAATAGATTTCCAGGTTATGACACAGAATCGAAATCACTTGACTCAAGTATCCTTCGTAAATATATTTATGGTGGACATGTGGCAGATTATATGCGCTATCTTCAAGATGAGGATGATGACAAGTATAAACGACAATTTTCCAAATTTATCGAAACTGGAATTTGTGCTGATGATTTAGAGTGTATTTATAAAGAAGCACATACCAAGATCCGTAGTGATCCTGTATTTAAACCTACAGACAAGAAAGGAGATTATAAGGACTTTAAGAAGGTGATCATTCAGATTTTTTTGTATATTTTGCATTTCTTTACACAACATGTTTTTAAATGTTATTTTCATTGTTGTTTTTTAATAGTACAAGAAGTTTAGATTGAATTTGAAACAAAGAAGAAACAAAGTCCAACAAAAGATAGAAGCTTATAGGGCAAAACATCAAGGAGAAGACGAATAAATTATATGTTGACAAAAAAATTATTTAAAAAATAAAATTTTTTTAATCGCCATCATCATCATATAACATTTTATATTTTTATATTTTTTTTAAATAAATTTGTATTAATGATTTAATTCGATATTCTAAATTCCAATCCTACATATAACAGAATCTTTTAATTTACATGTCACTTAATCTTTTAAATTTAATTATTTGAAAATGATTTGATAATTTCTATGTCAATTGTTGTGATGTGCATGAAAACCAATAATAATAAAGTTTTGTGAGATGAAACCCAAAAATTTCAAAAGTAGAGGGTGATATATATCTTACTAAAACTAAGTTTATGGCAATATTCCTTTTGATTGACTAATTTTAATTTTCACATATTACGTTTAATATTATATTTTATTAAAAAATGTCGTCGAGAGTCTCTAACGGGTACTATGTAGTCCTTTAACAATCATTAAAATTTCATACCTTTGACGCTTCAGGCATGTTTAATTAGGCCCATTACCCGAAGACACAATGCAACGGAACAATTCAAAGGGACCGCGGGGCTCTGAATTTGTTGAAATTACATCCGAGATCTTTTTTTTTTGAAGAGGTTGTTGAAGCCTTTTTATTTAATGCGGTTTTCATCACCATGAAGTAGAGCATTGCATATGATGGAGAGGAAAGTTCTGTTGGACCTAACACCTAAGCTTAATTTGTTAAATTTAATATTACTCATTTATCTTTCAGAGATGACTTTAAGGAACATGTATAATTGGGAAGAGACCTAATTAGAAACTTGTCTACTAAAACTTTCCCACCATCGCTTGGACGACAAGGCGATGGAGCCATTATTCTACATTGAATGGAGACTCTGATTAAATTCAACGAAAATATCAAAGGTTTATTTCCAAGTTTTCTCGTTTTTTGCTTGTCAGAACTTTTCAAAATTGGTTTCCTTAAAATTTCATTTCTGCATGGTTTTGGTATTAATGATTTTAATATAAATATTAAAAATTGAAAAATTATAACATAGAAAACTACCAGAGCAATTGCATGGGAAGTTGTTGTTGAGCACTACCTATTCTTTTGCTGTTCTGATGTAAATCCTATCTTTTCACTATTGTTATTAATGATATTCTTATTGTTGTAATATCAGTACCTTTTTCATCTTCTATATCATCCTTTCTCCCCATTTTTTGATTCTTTTCTTTATTGATTCCTGGATTGCTTCTATTACTTTCCTTCTAGAATTTGTTTTTTGTTTTTACGGCAGAAGCAGCAATTCTCCATCATATAACTCGTGGATTTTTTCAAAAAAATTGGATTCAACTCGGTCTTTTTACAATTTTTAAATTCCCCTTAGTATTTTAGATCATTGGTTGGTTTACTTGGTTTATATTTTTTCTAGGCTCTATTAGATTAATTATTTTATCGATCTTTTGGTTGGTATCATAGATTTGATCTTTTTTAATGTAATATATTCAAAACATTTTAGAAAACTAAGGATGTTTTTTACGATGCCATCATAATGTTATATTTATTGATTATTTTTAAGAAAAAGCAAACACCTTCGTAATAGCAGATCACTGCCTTTCTTTCCATGTGACTGTTAGTTGCTCACAGCAACATCTTATTAAAATCTTGTTAACAAATAAAAACGATAAAACATGATTATTAATATTAATAATATTACTATTATTGTTATTTAAATTTGGATATCGTATGTCAGATCGTTCGATATGTGAATTTGAAATTTCGCACCCATACCACTCATATTTGATTGGCTAATTTCCCAATTCATAAATTTTTATTCGAAGAATATATATTCAAAAACATTCTATTTGAATTTTTTCTTATTTATTTTCCTATTTAAAATATGAATCCATCATATCCAGGAACTCGAGTGATTGACAAGAAACACAATCAAGGAATTTATTTAGCATCAACCTTTCACTGTTATATTCGTAAAAGATTCTTAATTTTACAAATTAATTAATATTGAAATTTATTTAAATATTTTAGAATTGTTAGATATTGCTAAAGAATTAGGCCCATGTCCAAAAGGTGGTTCACATGAACTAAAATCTCATTAGTAAGTATTAATATATTATTATTGTATGTTTTGGTTTTTTTTATTTAAAAATTTATCTAATTTCAAACAAACAAAATAAAGTACATTTTGGACTTTATTTTTAGCCTTTTGTTTAGGTTTACCAAGGCTCTTTGGATATTCAGAAAGAAAAACTGTCTGCATCAAATGTAATGAAACTTTTAATATCACCTTGCCTCAAGCCAAGTGGTGATGATAAGATTTAATTTTAAAACAATAGCTTTTTCAAAACAAGAAGACATGGATACGAAAAAGTTTTGAAATAAAAATACAAAGACTCGAAACAATTTGATGAATGGCGATGACGATAATAATGATAATAATAATATAAATATTAATTTTTCTTTGTGAATAAACTTATATTGCATCAAACTTCATCAAAATTCACCACGACGATAATTTATCCATAGTTGAAATGGTAATTTCCAATCTCTTATATTCAGTCTTGGATTGAACACGTCAAAATCATATTTTTCCAAACGTTTCAAATAGGAATTACAAGACACCTTGAGAATATAAAGAGTGTGTATTAATTTAGGAAGAATAAATTATAGTTAACAATAATAAATATATATTTGTTTATTTACAGCTGATAGTAGTGCAGGCAATGATTCTATGGGAATATTTGATAAAAAAGTTCTGGCTGTCAATAAATGATCATTGGCTATTGTTGCAATTTCAAAAATTGCATCATTTAGTCCTGGCACACGACCTTTTCGAAAAATTTCTTCGTGGGAAAAATTATGCTGGAAATTAAAAAAAAGATTTTTTTTAATGAATTTATATATATATATATATATTATATATATCCGATAAAATACCTTTGCAGTGATTTCTGCTGGTAACATCATTCTTCTTTTACTAACAAGATATGGAAATGCCTTTAATGTAGTCACAATTCCAATAGCTTTCCCAATATGACTGGCTGCGTGATCCGCTTGTATATCCTTAATACCCAATGATTCCAAGTGTAAATAAAGAAGACAAGATGCAGTATTTTCAGCATATGATTCTAAATCCTTGGACGTTATAAATGGTGGATCATCCAAAAGTGCATCCTTAGAATAATCAATTTTTCTATTAATTACTTTGCAATATGATTAATAAATTATTTTATATTAGAAATTCCTTTTCTTTACTCTTGCATCAATAATTCTTTTAAAAAATAACGGAGAAACATTGCATATATCTAAAGAGTTGTGTAAAACTTGCGCTATAGGCTGTTGAGGAGGCTTATTCTGCTGATGATATTAAATAAATGAAAAACATATAAATAAATTTATATCATAACACAATATAATGTTTTGAATTGAAAGGTCTAATTATCGATTTTCTCGATACTTCAGATTGACAATCCATACCTTAAATATGTTGTCTATTGTTTCTCGCCAAAACTGCATCCTCATCTTGCCAATCCGAGGATCACTGACCGAATCACGAATCATTATTAATTCAATGTTAAAAGCTCGAATTGCCCAATGAACTTTTTGAATGTGTTTTGGATAAAATAATGAACATAGATAATTTTCTGAATCTTGTTTTCTTTATAAATATTAAATAAAAAAAATACTAATATGTGTTTATTATTATTATTATTATTATTATTATGTGATTTATTAATTTAATCAATTGAAAAATTTAAGCTACTTTTTATAATACTTTCTTACCTCACAAGATTACTACAATACTTAATAGCATTATCTAATTGATCATTATTCTTTGTTGTATTTGTCGAAGATGAAATTTTTCTTGAAAAATTATATTTGAAATTGGAATTGACAAGTTTACCATATAAATATCTATATTTAATCTTTTGACAAGCCATGAAGCCATGAATAAAAACAAATTTTTTGATAATCAGTTTTTGTAGGGGGGGGGTAGTGCCAAAATTACACTTGACAATCATTAATATCAATTATCTGATTAGATACATATAACTTTAGAAAGTCTTTGAAAATTACATAATGTATAACTACGTAGTTACTGCTCATAAATCGAGCAGTGTTATTGATTCTGTTAAAGGAAAATTTTGCACTACTGGTGAAATTAATTTATTTGTCAAGTATGTTTTTTAATCAAACTTATCTAAATAGTGTGGTCAGCGATTTTTTTTAAAATACTAATCAAATATTTTTATGACATATTAATAAATAAAGCAAAATAACACACATAGAAATTTATACACTTATTCCGGGAGGCTTAAAGTTATTACAAGATGTTCCAATATATGGTAGAATTGCTTGTATGGGAATATATAGACCTGCTGTATGCCGTGTTTCATTATTTAAAATTATTTTTGTGTTAAAATATAATTCATTGATACTATTAACATGGCATATTTAATTTTATCATAAATGCGACATGCATACATATAGCGTTGCGATACAGATTTATTATTTGTCACCACTGAAAACCTAGATTACTTTGTATTATCTTATGATCAAACAACCCAGAAGGTTAAAACTGAATGTTATGGTAATTTCAACGCCAAGAAGTCTAAGCGTCCATCAGAACCAGGCCAACTTTTGGCTATTGATGAAAAATCACGAATGATTGCAGTTCAATCATGCGAAGGTACTCTTAATGTGTTCCCAATAATGAATGATGGCCATAAAGGCAGAGTATCGACAGGTTCAAAAGAAAAAAATACATCACATGGCTATCTTTCGAAATTTTTCAATATAAGGTTTTTGAAATTACTTTTCTAATTTAATAACAAGTGATAATGACATTAAAATTGCTTGACATCCAAATTCAACATTCAGACTTCCATGAATTTATATTAAAAAAGATTAGAGGAATTGAAGATCCGTTCTATGATACTTTTATACGAAATGGACACGCCTACGCTGGCCATATTATATGAAGATTCTCATAAAATAACTCAAATTAAAACCTATTACATAGCTGTTAAAGAAAAAAAAATTACAGATGCACCATGGTCACTCAAAAATGTTGACCCTTCTGCAAATCACATGATAGCAGTACCAACGGGTATTTTTTTTTTACATTATATATAAATTACCTAAATATAAATATATTTTTATTTTCATTTTTGACTTATTTACTAAAGATTTATAATTAAATTATTTAGGTGGATTTTTGCTAATCTGTGAAAATAAGATTTTATATTATAAAGATCTTATAAATAATTCCAGTACAATATTATTCAAATACTCGATCAGTCATAATGGGTAAATTGATAGAATTTTATTTGAAACCTTGGATATTTATTCAATATTATTATACAAAGCATCAACTTTAGAAATTTGTAATTTTTTATATAACTATAATTCGATTAATTAATCAATCAATATATATATATGAAGTTTTATTTATTGAGCCCTGATATTCTTTTTTTTTCTTTTCCTCTTTTATAGGATTTCTAGAATTGATGATGACGGTACAAGATATTTGATAGGAGATGGTTGCGGTACATTACACTTGCTTGTTTTACCAGATTCTGAAAAAATTTATTATTATGATATAGGAAAGGTAATTAATTCTAACGAAAAAAAAATAATAATTAATATGTTATAATTTACTATATGTTTTAAAAAAAATTCATTCATTTATAACAATATTTTATTAAAGATCTCTGAACCAACTTCCATTACTTATCTTGATGAAGGCTATGCTTTTATTGGTTCTCATTTTGGTGATTCTCAACTTGTCAAATTACGCAAGGAATACAATTCATCAAATGAATTAATGGATTTATTAGAAAATTATGTGAATTTGGCACCATTACATGATTTTTGCGTAATAAATTTAGAAAGACAAGGATTGGTTAGTCGGTTTATCGATTCTTATTGATATCTATCACATATAATTCTGAAGTTAAGTTCCTTCTAACATTATTTATCTTTTTAGGGTCAACTAATTACTTGCTCAGGTGGTAATGAGGATGGCACTTTGCGAATAATTAGAAATGGAATAGGTGTTACTGAACAAGCATCAATGAATATTTTAGGAATTAATGGTGTATGGTCATTACGTCCTACATTTGATTCTTCGTATGTATATTTGGATTTTTTATTAATAAATCGTAATTTTTCGATATCATGTAAAATAACAACTAACACCTCCCTCCACCTTTAACAGTCATGATGATACAATAGTCATATCTTTAGCCACCGAAACTCGTATTTTAAAATTAAATCAAGGAGAAGAATTAACGGAGTTAGAAGAATACTCGGGTTTTAATTTGTCCAAGACAACAAAATCTGTCAAAAACGTTATTGGAAATAGAATTGTACAGGTAAGCATTTGTGAAATACAGTAACAACAAAATAATAATAATAAGTTTTCTTCCATTGTGAACTTACAATGAATTATTATTGTAGATAACAGAAACAAATATTGCACTTTTTGTTATCGAAACCGGAGAACTATTGTCTGAATGGCTCACAGAAAATGGAAAAACCATTACTGTAGCTGATGTAAATACTACACAAATTGTTATTGGGCTCTCTGGTGGTACTATAATATACTTTGAAATAAAAAATGATAAATTAATGCTAATCAAGTTAGTAAACTTTTAGTTTTTAAATTTATATTAATATATTTATTTATATGATTATAATTAATTTTATTAATGGATCTAATATTTCATTCACTTATTCGTTAAATCAATCAAATAATTTAATTTGTAGAAAATTGGAATTAGACTCTGATATTTCATGTTTAAGTATTAATCCGTTAGAGGATCCAACCTCCTCATCAATTGTAGCGGTTGGGTTATGGAAAGTCATTGGAATAAAAATTTTAAAACTGCCTACTTTAGATATAATATCGGATGAAAAGTTTGATGGAACTTCTATTACTCGCTCTGTTCTATTAACAAATTTTGAAAATAATCATTATGTTCTTGCAGCCTCGGGTGATGGACAACTATATCATTTTCTATTGAATCCAACTACTGGGGAATTGTCAGAAAAAAAGCATCTTTCATTAGGTACTCAGCCTATCATTTTAATTCCGTTTATTTCTAATGGAAAGAATCATGTTTTTGCTGCATCAGATAGACCCACTATCATTTACAGCGACAATAACAAATTACTATATTCCAGTGTTAACACAAAGGTATCCAAACTCTGCACTTCTATCATATGATTTTTATTTTTAAAACAAAATTGGTTGAGATTATATATTTTTTTTTAAAAAAATAGGATGTTACATATATGTGTCCATTCAGACCAGACAGCGAATCTACATCCTTAGTTATAACGCATGAAGATGGTTTAACCATTGGTACTATTGATGAAATTCAAAAACTTCATATTAGAACAATTTCATTGAATGAAATGCCTCGACGCATTGCGCATCAAGAGAGTACTAACACTATTGGACTTTTGACTGCTAAGACAACTACTCGTTTTTTTACCGGTGAAAAAACTACAGAACCATATTTCAAAATCATGGATGATCAAACATTAGAGAGTTAGTTCTTTTGATCTTTCATTGTTTTAAAATCTACAATCCAATATGACGTATTTTTTTATTTTGTTTTTTAAAAAAATTTAGTTAGTGATACATTCAAACTAAGAGATGATGAACTTGTCCACTATTTATCAACTGGGAAATTGGACATGAAAGAAAGTTCCCCAGAATTTTATTTCGTGGGAACAACTTTATTATCAGGTGATGGTGATAACAATAATGATGGAAGATTACTTATATTTCAAGTTGAAGGAGAGGATAATAATCGTAAAATAAGATTATTTTATGAAAAAGTCATGAAAGGTTCGGTGTTTTGTTGTATACCATTTAATGGGAAATTATTGGTTAGCGTTAATTCAAAGGTATGTGTTTGGATATATATATATATATTTTTTTTTACATATAACATTATTCATTTATAAATTAAAGAATCCAAATTTATAATAGGTATCACTATTTAACTTGCAAGAAGATAATAGTGGAAGGTCAAATATAATACCAATGTGTAGCTATTCTTGTTTAACACTAGCCTTATATGTTGTCACAAGAGGACATTTTATCTTGGTGGCAGATTTATTTCGTTCGATTACTGTTTTGATGTATAAAGAATTAAACAAAGACAACAAAAAACTCGAACTTATAGCCAGAGATCTTAATGCAAAATGGTTAACAGCGGTCGAAACACTTGATGATGATGATTATCTTGCATGCGATTCAAATGGAAATATGTTTATACTTGAAAGGAATTCTGATGAAGCGGAAGATTCGGCTAGAGACAAACTACACCAATCAGGCCTATATCATTTAGGCGATTCGATAAATAAATTGAGACATGGTAATCAAATTTATCCATAATAATAATAAAATGAAGCATTTTATCATTTTTAAAATATAAAAACATGTTATATTTTAATATAATAGGTTCGTTGGCAATTAACCGTCCAGATTCAGATTTGACTGTTGATACTGATATATTATTTTGCACTGTGTCTGGTTCCCTTGGTGTTGTGTCTAGGTTAACAGAAGAAAAATTCAATTATTTAAAAAAGTTAGAAAAAGCTTTAGAAAGCTATACAAGTTCAATTGGCGGTCTATCAAATGAAGCGTATCCTTTTGTTCTATATATAAAAGATGTTTATTTATTTTTATGATTACGAAGAGTATATGATTAAGATATATATTATTGATGACTTTTAATAACAATAATAATTAAAAAATAGTTGGAGAGCTTTTCGATCTATCGATGGTAAGATGCAAGAAAGTCGTAATTTTATTGATGGCGATTTTATTGAATCAATTTTGGATCTTTCTCATAAACAACAAGCGGAAATTGCTGCAATATGTGAAGTTAAACATGATGAGATGATCAAAATTGTAGAAGAATTGACTAGACTTCATTAAAATAAAACATGTATTGAATATTAGCTAGTATGATTAATTAGTAATTTGTTAATAAAAGATTTTTATAGCTTTATAATATATTAATTAACCCCCCTCCCAAAAATAATAATTAACCCCCAAAAACATTATTAAATTTAACATATCATTTAACTAAATTGTATAATTACAAAAGAAATAAAAAAAAATATTAGGTATTTTAACCTGTTACCATAAAATACATTTTTCGGAGGGATTCATTTCTCTCCCAATTTTACACTTAAAGGCGTCTGCAAATTCTTTAGAATTTTTTACGACACCATTTACTCTCCATTTTGCTGGTGAGTGAGGATCAACTCTAACCTATAATTATTAATATTGTTTATAATTTCAATCAATTAATAATCATTAAGATTTTTTAGAAGATATTTATAACTTTGAAAAGGGAAAAATTATCTTACTAATTCAACTGCTCTTTCAGGTCTTACTTTCGAACACCAACTTCTACCATAACTAATAAAAAATAATTGCTCTCTTGACCATTTACTCAAACCTGGTAATAATTCATTATTGTAAATTTCTTCTTTTGGGTCTGATTCGAATCTTGTCAACCACGCATTAAATGATTCTTTTAATCTAAATATATTAAAAATCATGATTATTATTATATTCATATAAATAAATTAATAATTTTTAATAATGAATAGTTAATTACCCTCCATTATCAGCCAAATTTTCTCCTAAAGTTAATTTACCGTTCAAGTGTACAGGTTTACCATAAGGATCATTTATTGTAAAGTTTGAATATTGATCAATGAAACATATGGTTTTTTTTTTAAATTCTTTGATTGTATCATTAGACCACCACTAAATAATATAATACAACGTTGTTATATATTTATTGTTATTATATATTTGAAGTTACAGATATTCTACCTGAGTCAATCTACCACTTGCATCATATTGTCTTCCACTGTCATCAAATGCGTGCTATGATTATCAATTGATAATTTTATTAGTATTATTTTAATTAAAAAAAAAAGATCGTCAATTTAAATAAAGATTACCGTAAGTTCATGTCCAACCACCATACCAACAGAACCATAATTTATGTATTCAGGAGCTTTTGCACTAAAGAAAGGCGGTTGTAATATACCTAATATATAAAAAATCAAAATAATAATTATTAGTGTTATTGTTATTATTCAACTATTTTGTTAAAATTAAAAACTATACATTACCAGCTGGAAATACAATTTCATTCGCTGTTGGATTCTATTTTTTTTTTAAAAAAAAACTTCATTAAAATTAAAATATAACGGCAATTGATTCTAATTAATTATATATAGTCTACTTACATAATAAGCATTAACAGTTTGAGGTGTCATATACCAAACACCCCGATCAACTTTTTTGTTAACCATTTTCCATTGTTCGTTACTAGCCCAAGTCTCGTAACTTAATTTATTCTCAAAAAATTGGTTTTCCTTAATAACTAGTTTATCGTAATAAACTGCTAGTGATTTAGGTGATTCTATGTTTGGTGAAGTTATTGGATAACCAACTTTTTGAATTATTTTTTTGACCTTACGGGCGAACAATATATATATATATTAGCAATAATGTATTAATTTATCAATAGATACATGGCTAATTATGTTACTATACCTTATAAATGGCTTTGTTGCGTGTTTCTTCGTCCAACCATTCCAATTCTGGTAAACGATTAATAAACGTATTCTTTATAGCTGTAATTGTATCATCAGCCATTTCTCTACTTTTACCTAATTAAAAGCATAATCAATTGATAGAATTAAAAATTATTTAATAAATATATTAAAAATTATATATTAATTAAAGAAACAATTACCCCCAAAAGTTTTTAATACAAAATATCTGCCAGCCAATAAACCTATAGTTTCGTCGATAACTTTTAAACAAACTTCCCATCGTTTAGGTTTGATGTTTTCATCAATACCTCTTAAAACAGAATTTAATTTTCTTATAGGCTGTCTAAAGGATTCATCCAACGAATCAGCAAATTTAAAAACAGATTGCCAAATAAAGTAAAGTGATAATTTTGAAGAAGAAGTCTTTTCGAGTAATTTGGATAAATCTGAGAAATATTTATTTGAAGAAATGATAATTTTTGATGGGACAGCTTGATCTTTTGGTATTAATTTTATCAGGTATTCCGTCCATAAAATTGAAGGTGATAAAGCAGATAATGAACCTAATGTATGGTTATTGTAAATTGCTTCCGGATCTTTATAATCCTCACTATTATAATAGTTAAAATCAGTAATTTATTTAAAAGCAAATAATATTTTATTTGTTTTTAAGATAATGATAAATATAATAAAAAATCACTTACGCAGATAAAGAAATATTTGCCAAATCTCTTTCAAATTCAACAATACTCTCGGCATAATCATTCCAAATTAGCGATTCGTGCTCATTACCTTCACTAATATCAGTTTTTTGATCAAAAATATTATTATCATCATTATCGTTGCAACTACCATCAAAATTATTGAAATCGTCAGATTTTTTATTTTTTTTAAGAGCTTTTTCTAATAGTTCAGCTATGACGCTTTTATAAACTTTTAAGATACTTTCTTCTTTATAGTATTCTTTTGAAGGTAAACCTAAACCACTTTGATCCAAATATAACCCATTATATTCGGGATCTTTTGCATCAGCTTCTACTCCAAATGCGAATAAAGGATTTACCCCGATTGATGATAAATAAGATAATGTCGCTGTTGCATTTAATGGATCTGATGATAATGAGCTTAAATAAGATTCTCTAGTTAACCAATTTTTTCTAATAAGAAAGTAATTATTATGAAAATCATAGAAATTATTATTATTATTATCATCATTGTCAATAAATTGACTGTGAATAAAATTCATAAATGGGGAGATTTCATCATTTGGAAAATAAGACAAAATTTTTTTAATTATTGGTAAAAGTGGTTCAGCTCTAAGTAACCCTATCTGGGTTTCGTTCATGCAAGATTGATACATTGATTGCAATTTATAAAAATTTTGCTTGTCAATAGTTTCATCTGGTGATGGTATAGTGTCATTTGGATGATTTGGGAAAGTAGGAAAATCATCTTCAAGAATTTCTTTAAGAACTTTCTAAAACATTATACAATATATGTAAATATATATCTTTTTAAGTTTTCAATGAAATTATTTCGCAATAATAATTAATATTTACTTGGTTATCCTCATATAAACTATTGAAATATCCATAACCCCCTTTATCATCAGGTATTGTGTTTTTTTTTAACCAACCACCACCTATAAATAATAATATATACATAAATTAATTTATTAAACAACAAATTAATGTAAAGAATTCGATTAAAGAAATGTAAAAAATTTACAAGTAAATTTGAAGAAATCATCACAAGGATCAGCTTCTGGATCAATATCGGAAAGTATTTGAGCAGCTATAATAACACAATCAGGTGTCAAGCAAAGATCCTAGAATAAATGAATAATATGCATGTAAAAAATTATAAGTAATTTTTACTTGATAAAAATGATCAATAGAAATTTTTTTCGATTAATACCTTTTCAGTATCATTTGGAGGCGGAATAACAGTTGGAATTGGTCCTGGAGGAGGTACAGGAGTTTGATGAGGTGGAGGATGAGTATGTTTGTTAGATCTACCTCTTGTATATAAACCAGCAAATACAGACATAAGTATCAATAATAATACACAAATGAATGCTAGAGTAATTTCCAAGGTTGAAAATTTTCCATGTCTAAGAGGGAAAAAATTCGCATGATCTCTTGGAGCTTCACGAGTACGTAAACTACGTTCAGGTCTTTTTGAACTGTTTGGATTATTTTTTTTGTTGATAGAAGGAGAACCTATGAAATTTTCTTCTTCTTCTGGATCATTTGGACTGTCATCATCGTTTAAAAGAGGTTGGTTTTCTAATTGTTGCTGACGAAGAGAGGAACTCATTATGAAAATTTAATGCTTGCGGATGCAGATACTAGAGAGAGATCAAAATTTGAATTAAAATTATTATTTATTCATTATAAATTGTTTCACAAACTTTTACTTGTTATGGAAACATCAATTATCAAATGGCACAAATTTGTGTGTCATCAGGATAGGGATTTAGACCAACATCGCACGTGCATTCAATCCATTGTCAAAATGACGAATAGCAATTTTGAATTATTTGAATCTTTAGAGTTTCGGGTTTGAATAAATAAAAATGTTTATTGTTACTTTGAATATAAAAGGAGTTCTTCCGTTTTTATTATTATTAAACAGGTTTTTTTTATATTGAATTGCATCTTATTATGTACATTGTTTATATAGATTTTTTTTTATTTAGTTAAACAGATAAGCTTGAGTAAATTAATTAAAAGAAAAAAAAGTCTTATAAAATGGAATGAATTCAAAGAGCAGAAATAAAACAAAAATTTAAATTTGAATTCAAATTATTATTTTATAATTATAAAATAAATAAATAGTAATAATAATGAAAAAACTAATTAATAATAATGATGATGATAATTTAACAGTTGTGCCTTCTTCAAATACTAAAACAACTATTTATTCAAATATTAAAACAACAATTATTTCAAACTCTTGTACATCAAAGTCCACAACTACAACTTTTGCTGACAATCAAAATAATCATCATTTAATTCATAAAGAAAATTTTGAAAATCACATAGTGATGACAAAAGATGAATTCAAATTAAATTTATTGCATTTAATAAAAGAAGATAGTAATGATAATAATAATAAAGTTGTATATCTTCAACATGGATTATTTGATAGCACAGATACTTGGCTATTGAATGGGCCAGAACACAGTTTACCATATATATTGAAAGATAATGGATATGATGTTTGGTTGGGTAATTCACGTGGTAATCAGTACAGCGAGCCATCTTCTTCTGACGAATATGATTTCAGTTGGGATGAAATGGCAAAATATGATTTGCCTGCTTTTATTAATTACATCAAGAAACAAACCAATGTAGACAGTTTATCATTTATTGGTCATTCTCAAGGTAAATAAATAAATAGTCTTATTATATACATAATATATGTGATATATATGATGTTGAGTGTAATAATGACAATAATAATAAATTTTCTTTTTAAAAAAAGGAGCAATTGAAATCTTAGCATCATTGATAATTGAATCCATCTCACCAACAGATTTACAATGTATTGTGTTGATAGCACCACCAGCAATATTAAAAAATCAAAAATCCAAAGTAATCAAATTACTAAGTAAAATAAAAGCTGATAATCTAATCAAAATCCTCCCAGTTAAATTATTCAAGAACACATTGGATTTCTCTCGTAAATTGATTGAAGAACACAGTTTAAATTACAATGACAGTTTTAAATTTATATTTGGTGAGACTAAATTATTGGAAAATAGCAATTTCCCTGGTCATTTTCCTGCTCCTGCAAGTAATCAAAATCTTGTTCATTGGATTCAGGTAAATAAATGTATTTGCATAAATACATTATATACATTATTATTCTTTCTAACACTCTTCTATATTAGTCAAGTAGATCAGGTTTATTTCAACGGTACCAGGATAAATCAACTCAGAACAACAAATCAATTTATGACATATCAATTATTCCACCTAATTCATTAAAATTGGCTACAATTGTTGGTACAAATGATTTATTGGCTACTCCTGAAAATGTTTCTTTGTTGAATCAACAATTGGAAATGAACAATAATCTAACATTCACAAAAACTTTTGAAGGTTATGCTCATATGGATTTTTGTTGGTCTTTGGATGCCAAAGATACTATTTATCCTGACATTATAAACTTTTTAAATGAAAACATTAAAAAAATCTAATTGATAAATAATAGAATTGGACGAATATATTTATTTTAAAGGAGTAAATCTTGAAGAATGAGTGAGTTGTACCAATACATAGAAAGTTTTGTTTTTCAATATTAATCATTGTGAGAAGTCCATTCCACAATATGAAAACTTTGTATGATTTCTTTCTTTTTTTGTTGAGCTGTATCATTTTTATCTTATTCAACGATTGCACTTACATGTAATGTATTTATATTAATATATGAATTACAATAATGATGTTTATTTAACTTTACATGCACAAAAGAATTTTTACTTAATGAATGCATATTTGTTTATTAACTTTAAAAAATTTTCTTTAAAACTATAAAATTTTTTTAAATAAAAAAAAGTTAAATGTCAAGTAACCCTAAATGGTTAAAATATAATTGATAAATTTTTTTGTAACAGGCTACCAAAAAAGTACATAAACAAACATGTGTCCATAAAAATATTAGTTGGCAAATGTGTAGTCCATTGGGTCCATTAGTGTAACGTTTCAACTATATTTAGTATTTTATTCTCAAATGGACCAGTCAATTTGCCAACCCTGATATGTTGTATTGTTCCTCATTTTCATTGTCTGAGAAAGATAAACTGTAGGCCCTTCTGGTAATAGCTGAATTTTGTTTGTCATCTATATAAAATATAAATATATACCAATGTGATATCCAAGATATTTTTTGATGAGTTCTTCTGGTGATATGTATTCAGAATGAAATGGTGTGACTTTTTTGTGTATGACCATAGTACCGCTGGACATATCCAATTTTCTTTATGATTTAGCTCAACACCCTTTGATGTAAATATAACATTTCTGATTTGGCAAATATTTGATGTGAAGAAAGCCCAAGGATTAGTTGGTGCACAAACTCGAATTGATTTTTGATGATTGCAATGTTCTTTGCTGCCAACTTATCAACCATTGTTTCTCTCAAGTTAATGATGTCATTAATAATAACAATGATATTAACAATAATATTATTGATATGATCAAACAATGCACAACTATTGAATGATTGTATAATAAATAATAATATTATTATTAGTAGAGCCACATGTTAAGTTATTGTTGTTATTAAATATTAGTAGTGCCACACATTGAGTTATTATTGTTGTTGTTATTATTATTATTATTTATTATACGGTGCAGATCATCTATAATCATTAATTGCTTATAGTAACAATTGGTCAACTTCAAAATACTAAAACAAAAAAAATTTATATTAATATCATTTTTAAAAAATTCACCGATAAGTTTTTATTATTCAGGCTTCAAAACTTATCGGCTGGTTTTTTCTTAAACCGGAAATCGGCTGGGCCTTAGCATTTTGTTATACACTCAAGAAATTGAAACTAAGTAAATTTGATTTTTTTCTTTTTTTGTTAAAGAAAATCATTACCAAATTTGGTCGTGAGATTCAAAAATATTGTAACACGAAAATTATTGCATAACTTTCAAAAATTATGAAAAAAATTTGAGACAAATTTTTTTTTTAGATTAATAGACTCCACTTTAAAGCTGAATTGAATGGTGGTGAGTTCTTTACAATCCAATGTGTGGATCACATAATATTTCAAAAATTTTAACTTTTGAGTATAGATGATCTGCACTATAGATTTAAATAAATTTTCACCCAAATTTCATTAATTAAAAATAAAAGGCAAAGCAGTTAATTGACGATCCGTCTATGAATCGGTGAGTGTTATATAGTGATCGGCGGAGGAAAATTGACCAAAAAAACACTAATCGGTAACCTTTTATAAAAAAAAGTTACTATACTTTTGTCTTGCAAGATAAA